ATGGGGAGGAAGTGGGAGGGGAGCTGTTGCATTGTAAATTTTGGTCAATGACATGAGACAAAGTGTATGTGAACTGCTGTATGAAAAGTGAATGTACTCTGTAAATCTTCACCCAAATCAAAAAAAAAAAAAGAAAAGAAACCCCAGGCTCTGTTGCAACCCCTTGACTTCACTGTTGTAGCAAGACTGCAATCATAGATAACACGTGAACACAAGTGTGGCTGTGCTTCAGTGGGACGTCATATATAAAACTGGCCGGGCTGGGGGTGGCCTGCCACCTTAGTTTTGCAAACCTAATAAAAACCTCAGCAAGTTTTTCAGTACGGAAATTGATAAGCTTTGTAAAATTTATACAGAATCGCAAAAGGCAAAGAAAAGTCAAAACAATCTAGAAAAAAACCAAAGAGAGCGGATAACCCTACTGATATCAGGAATCAGTACAGAGCTACTGCAATTAAGACAGCATCATGCTTGTACAAGTACAGACAGACAGAACAGAGTCCAGAACCAGACCCACATGCGACCACATGAATTATGGCAAGGGGGACCATGGAAAGCAATGGAGAAAGAATGGTCTTATCGATAAATGCTGCCAGGTCAACTGGACATGCACATGTGAAAAAAGAAAAGCAAACACTTCAGCCCCATACCATTTGCAAAAATCTGTAACAGGTAAGGCTTCTGAATGAAAATACAGAAGAACATCCTCCGGGCACTGGGGCAGCAAAGCCTTCTCAGTAGAACACAAACACTTTAAACCATAAAAACCAAAGAAGAAACGACAACAAATTGGACTGCATTAAAATTAGAACATCTACCCATTAACAGATACCATTAAGACGAAGGTGCGCCTGACTCAAGGCAAGGTACTTTCAATTGCATCCTGTGCACGTGAAAGCCGGACGATGCCTCTGAATGGTGGTGTGGGCAAAGAATACTGAATAGACATGGACTGCCAAAAGAACGAATGGGTCTGTCTTGAAGAAGGCGGCTCATTAGAAGGGAGGATGGCGAGACTTCATCTCTCGTGCTGTGATCAGGCTACGAGGAGGGACCCATCCCTGGAGAAGGACATAATGTTTGGTAAAGCAGAGGGTCACCTCCAACAAGACGGACTGACACACTGGCTGCAGTGATGGGCTCAAACACAGCAACAAGTGTGAGCACGGCACAGGATCAGGCAGGGTTTTGTTCTGTTGTACATGGGCCTGCTACAAGTAGGAACAGACGCAATGGCACCCAACAACCACAAATATTAAGAGTGAACAAAGTCAAGCCACACAGTGGAAAAAGATGGCTGCAACACAAAACCAGCAAAGGACTTGTATCCAGGAAATACAAAGAAGTACTACAAATCAATAAGAAAAAGACAACCTGATAGAAAACATACAAGAAACATCACAAAAGAAGATACCTGCAGTGTAGGAAATTACTTAGTGTGGCTTTTCTACCCATAAGTCTTTGTAAACTCCAAGGTGGGATTTTCTATGAGCAACTGAGGAGCTCCTGATTGCT